ACAACGACAACCGACTCAAGGAACGCTAGTTGTAGCATTATTAAACGAAACAATTTAACTAAATTGCTAGTAAAAATACCAATACCACAGGACAATTCTTTTTTTTAAAGCAATATTTTTAGTGGCCCGAGCGGGCAAGTGGAAAGTACGTTATGCTGGCCCGGGGCGTCTAAATAGTGCTTCCGGGCCAGCGGGCCATTTATAATGTCGAGCCCTGCCGGTTACCGGCCGGCCCACATCGTACGAACGGTAATGTAGCTGCTGAAGCTAGACCATCATCTCGGAGCAGCAGAGCCTTATTATACATCCATGAGCAGAGCCGACAGGCAGGAAGACTCGAGCACACAGCTCGCACTTCATTATAATATATATAAAAAAGAACACCATGCGTGTCATGATGGCACATAACAGCTGACGGCCGCAGATTACTCCGGGTCCCAGACCCCCCCATACCCCAAAAATATTTTTATTGCAGATCTACATGAATCACACAAACGACCTATTTTGGATTCAAAACGGCGAATTTCGCCGAAAGGTGACAAGTTTGCATCACTGTATATAGTAGGCCAGATCCACTGAGGAAAAAAAATCTGAGTTCAACTAGCTACATTGTTACCAGAGCATAGGAAATGTAATTTAGTTAATCACTGAGATAACAGTTTTTTCAGAGTCACACAGAGGTTAATCGTTCTCTTACCTCTGCTTCTATTTCAGCCTGTCTCTTCTCCAGCAGCTTGGCCACCACCATGGCTCTGTGTCGGCCCGAACGCTTACAGCACACGGCCCACTCACACAGCAAGGTCACCACGGCGTCATCATCTGGCGACATCTGGACAGAAACGTGTGTTATTATAAGACAATCCTGCAAAAACGGAGAGGTTTGTAGCCACATTTCATTATCTGTTGATCACAGCAGGACAAAAAAAACCGTATATACATATCTCAGGATTTACAGTTGTCGAAAATATGAAAAGGGTAAAAAGAATCAATATTTACCTCATGTCCTTCTTTACTCTGACCCGAGCCAAAGATTTGGTTGTACAGGGAATCCAGCGAGTTGTTGAAGTCAGACTTCTCAAAGCTGTGGTTGTCTAAAACCTCCAGGGTGTGGAGAACCCTCCCGATGGTGAACCCTGGCAACAGATAACAAAGAGTTATTTCCAACACTGACCTTGTTGTCCTCACACACCTGTTCTCATGAGCAGTAGACATAGGAACGGTTTCTAACCTGCGGTGGTCTCCTGGCACTTGTCAAACGACCACCTGAACTCCACGGCCTGGCCTCGCTCCTTCACTTGCTCCTCGATTTCTCTCAACTTTGTTCGAACCTGTGTTCAAATAAAAAAGGGTTAGAAATCGTTATCCTGACCCCTCAAGAAAAACCCCACCTTTGTAATGGGAAGTCAACAATGCATTTGGCAGAAGGGGGACAAGGACAAACTTATTTTAGGAAGGAAAACTTGGTCATAACAAATCAAAAACAGTCTTACTAGTTTCTTATTTTTAACTTCAGTTTTCATAATGCAATTCATATTTTTGCAATGGTGCAATTATTCCCTGAACAAACTGGAAAGGTTTCAAAACAGCTAGAAATCCCATAGGGAGAATATTTTAGTATGACAAATTCCTTTTGATTTCTAAACTACTCAACAGTCATTAGCTGTCATTTCCTGCAACGGTTAAGGGAAGAATACGGACATTATTATACATGTACCCAATTTATTTTAATCACTTTTATGTCAATATATACATAGATTTGTGAAAGTAGGAAGGACAGTACAGTATGTGTATATGGAGTGTGGTGGGAAAAATCTATTACCCTGTACTGCTTCTTTGAGAAAATTGCCAAAAAACAAAGAAATACAAATGTTCAGTGAGATGTACAGTGAGATGTACAGTGAGCGGAGATGGAGGTACCTGCTGTGTGAAGGCAGTGTTGCCCCCGGGCATGGGTAAACTGGACGGAGCGATGGGCAGCAGGTCCAGGGGGGAACCAGTTTTGTTCCTGCTGTCTGTGAGGGAGTAATGCCAGACCAGAGCACTGGGACAGCACAGCACTATGCTCTGATCGGACAAAAACAGGGGGGGGGGAATATTAAATAGGTGAATGAACTAAGGTTTCATTTTTATATTTCCTACATGAGTCACAATGAATACCTGCAGCATGCAGCTGAGGCCGAACACCAGGGGCCGGTGCTGCGGGCAGATGTAGAAGTCTGTGAAGGCCGTCTGAAGTTGGTTTCCTCCGGTCGGCTGCGAGGTGGGCGTTGGGGGCAGGGCGTTGCCTTGCTGCGTCAACATGCCATGGGTTGGATGCCCTCCTGTGCCGGGACCTAGGCTCCCGTCGCTTAGCAACAGGTTGAGGCGGCGTGTACAGAAGTAAGCCAGCCTCCGTGACAAGTAAGCCGACTGTACAAATTCCCCTGAGTACTGCGGGGGGCGAGAGAGAGATTCACAGCATTACCCCCAGCACTCAGTGTCCATTAACATCACTCAACTTTGGAGGGAGAAACAAGATGAGCGGCTGTTGCCCCAGTGGGCATCTGTCAGCAAAGGTCAACACCACTAAAGTGCCGTGGACGAAGACACGCAACTGGTGCATGATGAAGTGTTGACAGCTGTAGAAGTCTGTCACAGCACCAAGTGTGTGACTAGCTGCTTGAATGGTAAGCAGCAGGGCATGTTTCCCAAAAGCAATTAGGGTTAGGGTTAAATGGTGAGAGGGAGTAATACCTGTAGTAAAAGCGGAAGGAGAAGTCTGAGAAGCTCATCTTCACCAGGTCGGACCTTTTCGAAACACTCCAGCACCCACGTGAGGAACTCATGTCTGTCCAACATACCGTCCTGAAGATAGAAATCAACACAAGTGCATCTTAATGTCAAGTAGATGAACATGTGTCTACTCTACAGGGATGAAGGGAGCAGGAAGGTAAAAAATGCAGAGGCAGAGTTGGACAACATAAATCAGAAACATAATGTTATCCTTTATGCATTTTTTCCTTCACTACTCTCGCTAAATGTAATGTAACTCATAGAGAAAATAATAATATTACTTACCAAGTCTCGAAATGCCCCTAGCACTATTTTCAGCACAGCAATAACTTTCAACAAGAGCATGTTTCACTGGAGGAAAAAAACGTTCTGATTCAAGCTATGTATCAGCTGAAACATGTGAACGGACCTGAAACATGAACATGGCGAGCTTCTCGTTGTATTCCCACTGCTTCATGGCCGTCTCCACGTCAGCAGGGGTGGCGGGGAGGGGGGAGCTGCAACCTTGACTGGGAAACTGTCTGTAAAACTCGGCAACCTTCTGAAGCTGCTCCCACAGATACTTGGTGATAATCTGAGTCCATTCTACACAGAAAAAAAAGCATCTTAAAAGCAGAACTTGAATAACTAATATCCCATAGAAGGGGAGCAGAGAGGGTGATACACATCTAAAAACACTTATTCAAAACAGGCGATTATGTTCCCTTGCTTACCTATACAGGGATCGATCACATGCCTCTTCTTGACTTTAGTTTCTGTGATGGCTGCGTGATAAGCACAGGTCATTTTGATCATCCATGCCGAGCGCATGACAGGGACCGAGTACTTGGCCAAGTATCCAAAAACCTCCTCCTTTTTGCTAAAGATTGGAACCTGGGACAAAGACATTTCATGTACATCAGTAATGTTGAGTGATCAGACAAGGAATTCGTCAACACAAACAACACAAACATCAGGAAAAAATAACTGCAAGAAACACGAGGTCAAGTCCTTTATTCAGAAGTTTGAAGATCAAAATACAGACAACATCCAAACAGCTGACAGTGTAATAGACAGGTCTAAAAGGGAAAGGGGAAAATCAAAAAATGAAATAAACCAAATACATTCGGTGTATGTTACTTCTAAATTGTCTCAATGCTTTTATTGTCTGCTATTTTATTTCCTTTCCAACATTGCCTGTTTCCATTTAAAAAAAAAAATCTGGAGTCCACAAATCAATCAAACACATCTGCTTTGACTTCCTGATGTTACTTCTTCTGTGGTCTGAATAGAGTAGTTCCAGTAGGAGAAATCTGGAAGTGATCCGTCAAAGTAATTAATAAACAAAGAAAGGACATTGTTAATTGTACTGAGAAAACATTCAAATATGTATACATCATGTATGTACAAACGCAAGCAGGAACAACAGAAAATACATGAACTACTGCATAGTTGTAAATGATAGAGCTTTCATACATTTATGAATAGAAAGCTCACCTCTAATTTAAACTGATGTATTAACAATTAAACACCTATTTGTTGTCACTTAAGAGAACTTACAGAGTAAACATTTGTTGTTAGAACATTAAATACCTCAATCTAATAAGAGACTTCCAAGTCAAAAAATAAACAACACAGCTATAAAAACCTGTTTCCACTAACAAACAACAGCATTCATTGTATTTTGGGTCAATACACCCAAACAAGACAAACAATAGACTTGTTTTAACGAGAAGTAAACAAACGCTGCATTACTTACCCTTTCTGCATTGTTCTCTTTTTGTGATGGTAAAATTGAACCGTCCAGGGCAATTCTTCATTTTTATCACCGCATACGTTCATTGTCTATTTTTGGCTTTCTCAGTAATTACACGTAAAGCGGTGATATACACTTCAGGACCCTCCTCACCTAATCTGTTAGCAACATCTGCCCAGGCTGTCCCTGCAGCAAACATTTATTGAGCCTTGCTCAGAGATAATAAGGGATTTATAGCAGACGTTGCAAAAAAAAGAGGTGTTTGTACAATGAATGTGTACTGATATATCTGCATTATTTATAGGTATAGTGTGGATATAAGTATACAGTAACATTAGCGGCCCTCCTGAGGCTGTGATGCTCATTACACGTCCAAACACTAAATCATGTTTTCTATACGATTGATTAGGGTAGGACAAATCTTCACATCGTTAGTCTTGGATAGCTTTCTTCAGTATAAAGACACTTTTAATGCGAAACTGTATGCTATTAGCCTTGTGACAACAGCAGGATAGCATTGTAGCATCTTTTACTTAAAGTAGCAACAGTTAGGAACGGTAACATGCTACCTTTAGCTTTGAATCCAACATGCTAACACTCAACATGTTAGCATCTTATTATCGTATTAATCTTGGTTTGGCCACCACTAAACTAACTCATGACAGAAAAACCCAAAAATAAACATATTTTCATTTGTTTTGTAGGATGTGATCTTATCAGTGATTGTTATCATGTAGCTAAAATGTTTTTTTTATTTATGTACTCTAACCAGTTACATTACGTGTATCTCCTTTGTCATTGACATGGTTGGAAGATTTTTGGTTTCGGTGAAATCCAAGCCCCTTCCAAATGTAAATAGTAGGAAATCAGAGCAAACAGACTGATGTGAAGAGAATCACATCGATTGACCAGCCAAACAAAGCACAGCAGAGAGGAGGCCAGTGTATTGCAAAGTATACAGGCAGTTTAACACAAAGAAAATGCATAATATAGCAAAAAAGGCTTTATAGACTTATGCATGGATCTTACCTTTTTAGCCAGCTGTGTCAGAGGTTTAGTCCCCGCTAAATCCGTGAACCAATTATTGATGGAGCTTTGTGACCTTGCTGTGACGAGCCAGAAATTATCTTTCTGGTTGACCTGTGGTTTACGTTTCCCTGTGTCTGGAAATGTGTTGTACCGCAGCTTCTCTGCGATGATGCTGCTGAAGTTTGAACTAATCTGTAGGGAAACATAAATGATGGTTAAATCAAATATAAATAAATAACTAGAAGTGGCGTAAAGTGTAGGTCTTGAGCTAAAGGCCTTACCTTTGAAGGGTTAAAGTTGACATTTTTGGCACTGCCATGTTCATCACCAGAGACAGCTGGCTGGTTATTGAATCCTTGTTTCACATTTAGTGCAGTCAACTCATCCTGAAAGTAAAACATATTTTAGTGCACATTAAAATCTATGTATTATGAACTGAATTCATACAAATTCTTGCATTTTTAACCTGTCTAATGTTTACCCTACGATTTTTCTTATTCCATTCAACCCTTTACTAACCATTTGTATTGTAAATGAAAGCCTTTTTATGAGAAAACATTTGAATTGCTTTGTTGCTAAAATATAAAATAAAGCCATGCCCATTTGAAAAATAAATCACTTTATTCAAAGTTAGTAATGTTGATGTACATTATCTCATAATCTCTGAGGCCAGACTAGTGTTAGCTGGAGAAAATCAGCATATGTGCCTTATTTGGTCTGCAGACTGCTGTCAAAAGGAAGCAGTTATAATGACATGTCATCCTTAGAGAGTTTTGCATCACCGTTGTCAAAACCCCAAAAGGTAAAGCAAGTGTTCCTTCTACATCAACAGACTATCATCTAGGTTAGATATACTTTATTGATCCCACTGTTTGTTTTGTTGCAGCAGCAAGTAGATAAGCCAATGCCCAATAAAATAATAAATAAATACAAAATATAATACAATAAAAAAACAGTAAAGATACATATATCAGCAGTTAAAGATAAACAAAAAAGGGAACATATATATCAATAGGGAAGGATATATATCTATAGAGCATATCTATTGATTACACGATATAAATATACAGGACTGAAGGCAGTGTACATTATTAAAGGCCAGCCTATCAATCTCACAAAATGTAAACACTGAATACAATATAAAATGTACATTTGAGTTTACAGTTTTTAATTGAGAAATGAGAGATATATACAAATGAGAGAATTTGTCTTTTTGAGAAGGAAAAACCTGGAGTGTGACCTGGATAAGGTTAATTATAGACCAGGAGCGAGCAGTTCTTCACAGCTAGGCCAAACTCCAATCTTAAACTGAGCACAGATAAGACGTTATCTTAAATTAATGTACAGCTCGCAGGTCATATGGTTAGCTGTGCAGGTTAAGCTAACGTCAACTGGTTGGATCAAAACATCAAGCGAACAAACAATTAACCAGTCACGCACAATCAAGAAGGAAAATTGTTTCTCCATCACAAAGCTAAATGCTGGTTGCAATTTGTATCAAACCGAATAGCATCTACCAACCAAGAGCTAGCTTAGCAAACGATGTTGTCCAACGAACCGGTTGTTTTCCAAGTGGCGAGCTAGCTAACAAACTGACAACTAGGTGCTGTTCATTGTTATTGCTAGGCCCAAATCGTCTATAGCTGTTAGCTACACAGGCTAGCTTCTGTTAGCTTGAGCAGCTTCTTGGCTGGAATTTTTTCTCCAAAAATCCTTGTTATTGTAGTTTTTAGACCGCAAATCGTAAATTCTGACCTCTTTTTGCTTTGGATCTTGTGGATAAACATCCGGAGGGCCGAGTCGGGGCCGCTTCAATGGCCGGTGTTCGTAACTTAGGATCCCGAAAGCAGCCATCATCCAGCGGCATCACAGCCAGAGCTTTCCTCCTCCCCAGCAGCCTGAGCAGAGCTACAACAACGGAGCTCACTTCCGGCGAGGCTTCGTCCCCGAACTTCAAAATAAGATCCACGGAAAATACATGTAGAACTGGGGGATACAAAGAAACGCAACATACCAGAGATGGAAGAAGTGCTCATATATTATACTTCAGTAAAAGTAGAAGTCCCAGAGTACAGGAATACTCCGTTACAAGTAAAATTATACTGAAGTAAAGTAGAAAAGTATTAGCATCAGAATACACTTAAAGTACCAACTACTCAGATTCTCCCATTCCAGAATAATATATAAATGACATGTTTTAATTATAATTATGTATGCTTTGATGTATCAAATTGTTCTTAAGTACAGTACTTGAGTATGTCATTTACACCACTGCCAAATACCAAGACCACATATCTATATATATCGATATAGTGACGGCTATAGTAGGGTTACAAAAGTGCTTTTACAAAATAATTACTCAATGATAATTTTAATAAATAATGACAAGTGATATGGATAATAATAAAAATGGGCAGACAGGCGAATAAATGGGAATATTCTGGTATATGAAATGCAGAAATGTCCCATTTTTCCAATTTTTTCACGTGTTTATTTATTCCTATTTTTATTTCCAAATGTATTTCTTTCTGTTTTTTTACACATTTATTTATTCTTGTATTCCTGTATTTATGAATTAATCAATTATTTTACTTATTTCATGTTCTGTCCTCCATTCATTGTGTGCTCATTGTGTGCATAAAGGTACAAATTCACTCCAAATGACCTCACAGCAAGACCTATAGTTGTTGAAAACACTGTGGTGGTCCAGAGGTCTATGCATTTGTTTTTCATGCAGGTGCTCGAGGTTCAATAACCAGGGGAGGGACATCTTTAGTCTTCTACTATGCTGATGTTATATCTGGAGAAATTGGCCCCACCACTTTCCTAACAAAGTGACGCTCATGAAATGCAGCCTTCAAAACAAGAGAAAAGACAACATTTGTGATATTATTACAATATCCAATTTCTGAAACTCTAGTCTTAAATCAGTGATCAATATAACCTCAATGTTGCCCAGCCGTATTTAAATGGATTTGAATTGTTTTGTGCTGAAACTAATATCTACAAAAGACATCGACAATCAATTAACACACATTTCTATCTATGCAAAAAAAGCAGCTTCTTTAATATTTAATCTGGCATAAATAGGGACATTGCAAAGCCTGATGTTTTATTTGTCAAGCTGAATAACCTTTGAAAAAACGACAAGATGATTCCATGTTTGTATTTGTTATGTATTAAATGGATGTAGTAGTCCATCCAATCGCTGATGTTAAAAGTTAGTTTGTGCAATGTGCATATATGATATCAATAGTGAGGAACAGATTCAAAGATGATGATTTGATGTGCCATCCTGTGTGTTACAAGTACACAAGTACACATTCTTTTTTTTTCTTCCACAGGCTAAAATATGTGTGTCATTGTTAAGGTGAAACATTTCTACACGTTCACAAAAAAGCCTTTCTAATGTAAAGTTTTAACATCATTTTAAAAGATGAAATTCATGGACATTTGAGTCGATGGAGGAGACCGTAGTGCAAGCCTTGAACTTTGCTCTGGGTTGATGGGTTTGCTTACAGCATGCAGAGTAGAGGGAAGGCTGGAATAACAAACCGATGTAAGGGTTGCTGAAAGCTCTAGGCTAAGTGTAAGAGTGTTGGCAGCATTGTAAACATTTGTTTAAAAATGTGCGATTGGAAAATGAACAACATCATATGAAATCATAATTCCCTTTTAGGTGGGTCCTGGTTGCTTTATTTCCTTTGACGTCCAGTTTTAAAGTATTCTGTGTCAATATTTGGTTTAGCATTTACCTATATTAACATGTGTAATCAGAATACACACTGCAAAAGGTGTTTTCTTTTTATACAGGTGAATCTCATTGAGACACAAGGTCTCATTCTCAAGAGAGACCTGTTCAGTGGTAACACTACCACACAAAGTTACAGACAGACAGGACACTAAACACAGAGGCAATAATTAAATAAAACATCGTAAAAAGTAGTCAGATATTGCAGGTGCAAACACCCACAGATGATTTCTCCAGCTTTTTAAAAATGAGTTTAAAATCTGCGATGGGTACTGTACCGTACCCAATATACAAGCTGTTAATAAACTTTTCAATCAATCAATCAATGGGTATCAAACTGGTCAGCTTAAGATCCTGCTGAAGTGTGTTGCAGGTCGAGGGGGCAGAGTATGAAATGGCTTTTTTCCCGAGCACAGTGCGTACTGAGGGGACGGACAGAGTGATGTTTTTTTTAGATCGTAGGCTATAGCTGTACTGTTTGTGTGAGTGGATATGTAGAGGGGCAGCAGTCCAAGCATAGCGGTATAGATGAGTTTTTTTTACCAGTGCAGTGATCTGCGCATTGATAGTGATGTCCAGTTGACTAAAGAGTACAGCGTGCAATGGTGTGTGAGGGGTTTACAGTTGGTTATGAACCTCAGAGCCCCATGGTAAACAGCGTCCAGCAGATGAAGGGAGTGAGCTGAGGCGTTCATGTACACAACATCCCCGTAGTCCAAGAGCGGCAAAAATGTGGCTGCTACAAGCCGTTTCCTCACACTTGTGGAGAAGCAGGCCTTGTTTCTAAAAAAGAAGCCCCGTTTTAATTTCAGTTTCCTTAACAGATTGTCAATATGAGGTTTAAAGCAGAGGTTTTCATCTATAGTGATGCCTAAGTATCTGTAGGTTTTAAGGTTTTAACAGCTTCAATGGCTTATGCTGTGCAGACATGATGCAGGGAAGAACAGTTGTTAACTTTTTCTTATTTGAAAACAACATGACTTTTGTCTTGTCTGAATTTAACAGCAACCTGAGGTGGAACAGATGTGACTGAAAAGTGTGNAATAACATTTGAGTGATTTTTTTTCAACCGGTGTCAGACTTATTGGACTTTGCAAACACAGCTCTCATCCTGCTACCACTTTTAAAAACGTTGTTATTTCCAAATGTCTTAAAGGTCCCATGTCATGGCCATTTCTACTGATATCTATTAGAATAGATTTACATTGTTCAATGTTCCAAACTCACATTGGTTTCTCACACAGCATCTCTGTGTAGTATGTGTATTCACTCTCTGTCCTACACGCCTTGTTGGAGCTCTTGCCCCCCCCCCCTTATGAGCCCAGTGGCCGTCTGCGAGACAGCGAGACCCAGCCCGAAACACACACACGCCTACAACGGCATTTGTTAGCAACCAGAAAATGACACCAGTAATGCCAAACAGATGAGAATGCTGCGTGGGGTCTGGGTGCTGTGTTCAATCTTTTCTCAGCTGCAGACTGAGACGGCGAGGTGTCTCCACACCAGTAAGCCAGCTCACACTGTCCGCTCCTCGCAGCAGCGAGCCTCGTAACGTCCCGCCGAGTGTGTGTGTGAGGAAGTCCACGGATTTGTCCATTTGGGTGTACTTTGAGGGTTTGTGACTCTGTAGACCGTTTACATGCATAAAAAGCTACATAACACACAAGGGGACGGATAATAACTGGAAAAGCATGACATGGGACCTTTAATACCTTTTGAAATGTGGGCTTTTACTTCTGAAATGCATCTCCAGCCCAGCCTTACACATTGTTGTTTAGTTGGTTGTTTAAAATGCACAGAGCTGGTTATAAAGGAGGCCAAGTGTCGTAAACTGCTGTAAGAATGTAATGCATATTCAGAATGAGCTGAGTCCAAAGAAGGCTCCCTAAAACCTGAATAATATCTAAAAATCCCACTTGTCTTTTTTTAGAAAATTCTACGTGTTAAAATAAGCCTAATTCTGAAAACCCAAACACAATATGCTTTGATTTGAGCCTGATCAAATTAAGAAAACTAGTGTGCATCTGAACTTAGTCAATGACTCTTGTCTGTGTCAGAACCACGGTGGGATACTGTTTTTTTTTTAATATAGTGAATAACGGTACGCATATTGTAGTTGTTTTTGATATTTTAACAAAATTGCTTATGTTATCGTCTCCGTGTCTCTGGTAGTGTATTCTGATGAGGATTCCTGGAAGAAATTCATTCCTCCTGTGCGTGTGCACAAGGGGTTTGTCAGCGGCTGGGCGATGGTCGGAGACATCCTGCTCTGCATGCCGCTCTCCATCTTCATTCAGGTCATACAGGTCAACTATAAGGTCAGAAAACAAACATTTGTTTGACTTTTGTGCTATTCACTTCACTTACCCTCTGTAGGGAAACATATTTCCTCTCTTGGTCACATGATCCTCAAATTTCATCTGTGTCAGAAGTCAGTTTTTCTTTCCTCTGGAGCAAATGCTCAAGAAACAAAATACTGTTTCCTTTCAGTGTATACTTTGCAACTTTTCAAAAATGTCAACATATTCTTTTGGGTATTAAATTACAGAACAGCTCCACAAAGTTATTTAAAAGGTGATGAGAGTCAGGTTTGCTGTATCATTGGAAGGAGAGTCCTTACATATACTTTCTCCTAACAGTACCAGCTAACTCTTAATATGGTCACTTAATGTTAGTTTATTCTCTTCACTCTATCTGCACTATACCTCTGATGTAGTAATAACGCACATTTCCCCGTTGTTGAACAAATAAAGGAATTCTGATTCTGATATATTTAACAGCAAACAGATGTTCCTTGAAACGTCTTAATTGCATAAACAATACAAAACACTTTGCTCCAACAATTACTTTATTTAATTTAATAGATTTGTATTGCATTGATTTATACAGTACCAAGAAGTTATTATAACATTAATCTAATTTAATGGAGGAACTGGATATATTGAACACAGTCAACAGGCGAAGCTAATTTACTGAAAATAGATTGAATATTTCTTGTTAACTCTGACAGCCCTACTAATCACACATATAAAAACCCATGTGACCACAGGTGGAAGGACTGGAGGAACATCTCAACGACCCGGTGAAGCAACACCATCTCATCCGAACGCTGCCGGCCAGAATGAGAAGACAGCTGCTCTACAAACGGTGACTTTTACTCTTATTTAGCTTTCTGGCTCTCCTGGTAACTATGATTTCTACATGTGGTATTTATGGGTTCTTTATTTCAGGAAATACATCTTCGCCTTCCATGAGAACCTCCAAAAGCTGGTCTACATGGGTCTGGTGCAGTTTGGGCATGTTGAGAAGTTCAAGGAGAAAGACCAGGTACACATTCACGAGTCACACAAACATCCAAAACATGTGACTGCTGATCTCATTCCCTCATAAAACACATCATTTCATTTGGCTATTATCCTTACCTCGTGTATCTCAATAAAAAAGACAAAAGCGTTCTTGTTCAAAGGACTTATTAGTAAAAAATTATCTATAAAAAGTATTAAAGAGTTGTGTCAAAGGGCGTAAGTTACGAGTATTGTAAAAGTACATTGTCAAAATAAAATGAATATTTATAAGTGCTTATAACTAACTAACTTATAACGCATGATAAGTCTGTTGATATTGCATCATGCCAGCATAGAAAGTGTACCCAAATATATAGAAACAATCCTATATACTTCTATGTAAAGGCTTCCCAACAGTTTACACAAACAGCTCAGGGCCTTTCTATATTTGTACATGTAGCTGTGAACAAGTTGTACATTTTGCACAAATGCCATATCAATAATTGTTTACTCTTTTTTTATTTTATTTTTTTTATATAAATATAACCAGAAAAAAGTAAATTCTCTTTTCAAGTGTTCCCATATTTCCTCACCCCCATGTCTACATTGCTCCAGGTGTTTGTGCACGTGATGCGTAACGCCTCCATCGTCGACACCACCAACGCCGAGCCTCACTACTGGCTCGTCACAGAGTCCTTCGACAAACCCTTCGAGCAGCGCCACTACACGTTCAACAGCGCAGAGGACGTGGAAAACTACTGGTTCGACCTGATGTGTGTCTGCCTCAATACACCACTGGGTACATACAGGAACACACGCACACACACACACACTCACTCACTCACTCACTCGCACACACACACACACACACACACACACACACACACTCTCACACGCACACACACACACACACACACACACACACACACACACACACACACACACACACACACACACACACACACACACACACACACACACACACACACACGATTACGCCTCAATGGGAATTTCTGTACGTCTTGTCATTTCCCTCTTCCGAATTGGTTGAAATTTTTTTCCCTTTATACTAAGTACATTCTTCCTCCCGTCCCGCTAATAAGCTTATCCTTGTATCATAAGTGCACATAATAAATTTTTGTTGCGTGTATGAATTGAGTTCAACATTCTTTTGCGACTATATAACTTATACGAACTCCTTCACAACAAAATCTAGTGGTAAAATGTAATATTGAATTTACAAGTGCGCTAATTCGTCTCTACCACTTATCGACCTTTAATATATATGTAAACAAAGAGACGTGCTAAGTGAAAAAGGTTCCACCAACGAAGTATCGCACTCTTTACGACAACAACA